ATATCTCTATAATGACTTTAAACATGTTTAAAGTCCCGTAAACATCCAATGTAGCAGACATTCCTGCGTCTGATTTACCATTTTTGTTTATGTTAAGTTAGCTTTGTACACGGCATTGAATATTGGGCCCAAGACAAATCGCTTTCCTCAAGATATTTCCGTTACCAAACGAGCATATTGTCGTTATTGCTTAAACATCAAGAAAATAATACTGCCGGTGTATACCCAACTTCAATATAGAGTGCATAGCTATGCGCAGTCGTAGCGTAATCTAATATAGCCCTAAGAAATTGACTACATAACACAAACACTTTTTTCAATTCGTACCAAATTGAAATCATCTTTATAATTAGTGAATGAAGACAGCTACAGTTAGTCTGTTTTTTTTTGATTAACACTTTTCGTTAATCTCTCTAGATATTTATCCATTTAAAAGTTAACAGAGTTTTTGTTACAGTGTCTAACACAAGGCAAATCTCTAATTGAAAATAAAAATATGTTCGAAGGAAAATGTTGAAAGCCGGCCCCGCTAAAAGCCACGTGTAAAAGCTAGTAGATAAATAATATAATCCGCCCTTTTACTCTTTACTGCCTACTTTATGGTTTTCCCGGCCATTACGCCTCACCAGCGCCAATATTTTCCCAAAATTAATACGTTTCTCCGCGTAAAACGTAGTCTCACCTAATATTGATATTAGGACAAAAAGCCATTTCCCATTCTTTAGTAACATAATTTTCCTTGTTTAATATAGTAACGCGTAATAAATTTCTGAAAAAAAAAACTATTGCTATATATCTTATGTTTAACAAAAATGACATTTCACTATTATTCATAACAATTTTAAATTAATACATTAAATCCTAAGCAAATTATACAAAATATCACTAAAATTATTCATATATACATAATACATATATACAAAATGTATTGATCGCTACCTTCCATGATAATACATGCAAATATATGTTGTATGCATTATCATTACTATGTATATACAACAATAAACGAATGGTAAGATAATAATTGAATAATAAACTCTTTAATCTAGTAAATAGGTAATAAAAACCAAAAATAAAATGGGTCTCGCTACTTATTTAAAATATTTGGAGTAACTTATGACTTCCTACGCAGTAGGTAATAATAGACATTCTATTTACCTTACAAACACTATCACATAACATCAAAAAACGAAAACTTATTAACAACACAACATCACGTTTCATACATAATTTATCAATGATAGTATTTTATTGAAATAGTAAAAATCTAAATGTTCTTTATCAACGACCTAATATAATACTGACGGATTCGAAAGAGTATTACTAAGTATTTTTTGAAGTGAAACTTCTTTATCGAGGTTGGAAAAAAATTTAGTGTAACATTTTTTCGTTACGCGTCACATTTTTCGGTTACGCGCCATGTTGCTTTTTGAAGTCAAACTTCTTTATCGGCGTTGGAATGAAACTTCTTTATCGACGTATGGGAGACATTTTGTAGCAAATCGTCACGTTTTTCAATGATAGTAATAATTCTATTACAATTAATGTAATTCTATAATAATCTTCGTAGTAATAAGGTAAAATGAAATATTTGTATTCATGTCTATGATAATAAAAGCCTTTTGTTAAACTTTATCTAATTTAACGAATTTCTGTAAAGTTGCATATAGTAGATAATTTTTCGAAAAATAAGATCATAAAGAAGTTTCACTTTTTACGTGTGTACACCTAGTACACGCACAATTTATTTATATGTGTCATTGAAGAGGGGTTAGGAGCTATGCTTCACATCAAACTCTTTGTTTGTGAACTGTATATATCAACGACCCATTTGGCTAATTTAAATTTAACATCTCACGGTCAACCCATTTAAGTGGCTATCATCGTGACGAAGCAAAATTGCAGCGCAAGAGACCAATTGAAATAATCTCGGAAGTCCTATGCAAAGTATTTCTAGTAATAGATAATAAAATAGCTCATAAATTTTCCACTATTGGTGGTGACATCATGTACTTAATGCCTGCTTATGATTCGATTTTTAAATTGTATTGTGTCACCAGTTAAAGTATTTGATCTCGTTTTGCATTAAAAGTTTAATAATAACGTTTTGTTTATCTATTTTACACTTTATTGGACAATTAATACAATTTAAAACAAAGATGACGTGATGCAACGGGAGGCTATTGAACCGAAAAAGTTTTTCCTTTACTTTTTTTACGCTTTTTTTATGGGTTCGGGAAGTAATGGTTGTAATAAAAATTTATGGTTGTCATACACTTATGAGCGGTAGGAATGAATAACAATTGATCTATGTACTAAAATTATGAACGCGTTATCCATGAAAATTGTAAGGCAAGTCATACACATTTGTATAATATACTATTAAATAAAAAATCGCACAATAATTCACTACATTTGATAATTTTCACCCAAGAAAATTTCTAATATATATCTATCGCATTTAAAAAGGCTAACGCGTCACTGTCGAAACTTTTTCTATGATATTTTATAAATATACTAGTGGACCCCACAGACGTTGTCCTGCATGATATTTAAAGCGATTAGGATATTAAGCAAAGTATGAAAGTACCGACTGCAGTGCCATCTGCCGGGCTGATTTGTGAATCTAAACCATTCCCAGATCCCCTTGAACACACACAAAAAATTTCATCAAAATCGGTCCAGTCGTTTGAGAGAAGTTCAGTGACATACACACTCACAGAAGAATTATATATATAAAGACATATATATTTTAGAGAAAAGTATTTGTATTAGGAAATACTTATATGTAAAATTGTGAGTAGTGTTGAAGAGTGAAAATTAAAAAGATATAGTACATTATTCTTTGTCGTCCCAAATAAACCTGGCGACGAACAGTTGCAAATGAGGGGAAGAAAGCTGAAAAAGCTAGATAATACTCGAAGCTCGACCAAGGGAATTGTGGGATCTGTGTTGACCTCATCTGCAACATCCAGGAGTCATACGACATTAAGCCTATTACTATTAAGTAAAATATTTAATATTTAATAGCGTAAGTATCTTTTGTAATCGCCCTTACGAAGTCAAATATTCAATGTCATATATATATGTTTACCTAACTTAGCTTGATTTTATCAAAAGTAAAGTACTAGTCGAGTAAGACGGTTGCAGTTCTTGAGATAAGCTGATTATTCAAGTGTGAGTTAGCTAATCAATTAGGCGAGTTGAGTCGCACACTTTGAAGGTAAATAAATATAAAAGTATTTGTTAAGGAATTTTATGCTCAGAGAAGTTATTGATTCAACTTATTAATGCAAATATCATTCGTCTATGGACCCTTGTAGTGAGATACTTATGACTGTATCAAAATACTCGCTTCATTTGTTTTCTAAGCGCATGTATAGTGTTCGGTCAACAGCTGAGATCTCAATAAATATACGGTCTTATTACATGTCTATGTAATAGAAATTGTAACCATGGTAACGAATATCTTCTCGCCATAATATGTTACTTATTAGTGTCCCATCTGATTCAACGACAATCTTTATTATAGACGTTCGAACAATAAGTTAATCATCCTTCTGATTTGTAGTAACATTTAACAATATAAATGAGAAAGACTAACGACGTAATAAAATAAACATCGTACCTAAATAAATTCTGTAAAAAACTTATACTTACAGTTACGTACACTGTTTTTACTTTTATCACTAAAACGACATATATCTATATCTTATAGTGTCAAGCCGATTGTTGATAATATTTGATAGTCTATTTATAGATATCTCTGTGCAATCTTTTATTTAAGATAAATTTCCTATAAAAAATATAGGTATCAACTTGTTCATCTTCATCGCCACATCGAAAACAATGCCGAAGTAATTTTAGTCTTCAGTTCACTATTATGATCATATTTTATAAAAATCCCAAATCATTGGATATGCAAAGCAGTTAGTTGGCGCCAAAACTGGCGGTACTGCCACAAATAAGTCAAATTTAAAAAATGACATAGAGGTGGTGTGTTGAGGGTGGTACACCTGGGTAGATGGTAAAAAGACTCTGAAAGTTTTTATATCGTCATGCCTGCTGGAGATACTATTCACAATGTTGGTATACCTCAACATTGTGAATATATATATATATCTATACGTAATGTATTAATTTATATATATTATAACTCGGCCTTTAAGTAAATTGATTTTTATTTAATACAACACACACTTTATGGCTGTGGGAAACCACATTTTTAATAAATAATTTTGAAATTAATTATTTTAAGTAAACGCCTAGATATTTTTTAAACATAAATAATAAAAAAAATCGGTTAGTTTTTATCGATGAGTTATTTTTATTATACATTATCATATTTAATGATATGAACCATTTATATCAATCAGGTCAAGGGCATATGTATAAGAATAATGATTTTAATAATTTAATTGTTCTTCCTATACAACAGATTTAGAGAATAATATAAAAAATTTAGAAAAAAATTAAACACATTTAAAAAGTTAGGTTGGCCTGTGGCAGTGTACCTGTCACGCTGCAGCTGGCAGCATTTCCTCGCTGTATTGCGATACCTATTCGTTGAGCCAGGAAAGCACCAGCTCTGGGGTCACCGGTACTATCTACCAGGCGCCAACTTAAATCTTTAATAAATTAATTATATTACGAGTTGAAACATCAAAATAATTAAATATTACCAGTAAAAAGAAAAAATGTCAACAATAATGCCAAGAATGTACTCAAGATGACAAGAAGAGTGAACAAAAATTCCATTTAATTGTTACCATCTAAGCAAAACTTATTCAAAATATTTCAACATAAAGCAAAGGGCCTTTAACTTCATAGCAATTTACGAGCCTTCAAATTAATAATAATAAGGCTAATCTTATGAGATATTTTTAACCGCGCTTTAATGCTTAGGATAAAGAATTTTTGCTTTAACGTGTTCGATTAGAAGCTCTGTGGGTTTTACAAAGTACGTTGCAAAAATTAATCCCAAACTATTTTTGTTTCAGATGCCATTTACAAGAATTTGGGATGAATCTTGTCCTCGCGTTTGGGATAAATGGGAGGCTAATGGCCAAGAGTGGGTTGTTCAGGACTTGGACCCGAAAGATGATGAAGAGGCACTTGAGATTTTAGTGGAACATCTTTGTAGTGATGAACTTCTTTGCTCTTTAAGTAGTATGTCTAAATACTAAATAATACATAGTCCTATTTTAAAAAACTATTATTTATTCAGAATTCATAAAAATTGCATATTTACTAAACCATTTTCTTTAAATATATAATTGGGGGGCAAATGAGCTTGCGGGACGACCAAAAAGGGCAGTTTTTTGTATTACATTTATTTTGTTATGTTGCATTTAGAGATAATTTCTATATTGCATGTAAATTTGGATATTTATTGTAGAACTTACTGAAGACAATGAAAGTGTAGAAGGAATTAGAAAATTTTGGATCCCTTGCATCGCACAGAGGATGTGTTTAGGGTGTTACACCTGGGTAGATGGTAAAAAGACTCTGGTAGCTTTAAACCTGTGTATCGTTATGTCTGCTGGAGATACTTTTCCCAATGTTGAGGTATACAAAATTAATATAATCTATAGTATATTATAAAAAGCAAATACGTAGTAACATCATCATTTTAGATCACAGGTGAGAAGTGGAAAAACGTATATAAAGGGATGGAGTATGTTGAAACCAAACGAGATCCACACAAATATTTGGAATTGAGTACTCTTTTACATGCGTTTGGGCTTGTTGTGAAGAGGGAGTACAGAGGCTGTAAACTTGGTGCCAAACTGTTGGCTGCTAGGTAAAGTCCAATCCGTGTGCTAGCTGTTTCTCTTAACCTCGTCCCTTTGTCTTTCTTTTCCTTAATAGCATTATAAATAATCTTGAGTTTAGTGTCAATGATGTCTCAATAAGTAGGTGATTGGTTATTTGTATTTTATGGTTTTCACGGGTACCTCACATTTAAATAAAGAAATTCTAGCGCTAGTCTCTCCCTGACTACAACTGATGTAACACGCTTAATATCAATTTTAAAAATGATTTGATTTATTTACAGGGAGCCGCTGTGTAAGTTACTTGGAGTAAAAGGTACTACTACGGTATTTTCGGGCCCAGCTTCACCAATCTTGGCCGCTAGATGTGGATTCGTCTGCATTTACAAAGCGTCTTTGAAAGAACTAGCTGACTCAGGACTGGACTATCCTCCTGAACCTAATACGTATATAAAACTCATGGTTAAGCGATATGATTAAGCAAAGATATTGGTTCAAAACGAGCAGTGTCGGCCTAGTAGCTTCAGCATGCGACTCTCAGCTGGCACCAATGCACTTTCTGCCTATGTGCATATTAAACACTCGCTCGTACGGTCTAGGAAAAACTCTTGACTCAAAAAGCCAATTTAAAAAAATTAATGATCACGAAATAGATACATATGAAATTTGAAGTCCTGATCTAGAGGGTTGGTGGTCACAAGGGGTCACTGGTTTTTTTTATTGGTACACAACCAAAGTTTAAAAAAAGGGATTTATGAGCGTTTAGCGTCAATGAACTAAGGTCAATTGATTGAAATTGAATTTGACGGTTATAGCATCAAGATCTTAACACGTAATTGAGGAAATTTGAGAAATTCTGAGAAATTCAAACGAATTTCGAGTCATACTGGAAAATTTAGTTTCTAACATCGTTCAGATACTAACTACCCTCACACAACACAGCAATAAAAAAAATAGTTTTTGCTTTTATAAAATATTTTATGAAATATTTATAGTATTGTTACGAGCTAGGGGATCGGATAGAAACGCCGTAGATTTCTTCAAGGGTTTATTTTGAATTAAATCTACGAGGAATTTGTTACACTAAAAACTGGTAATTACGCACTAAAATTCACTGAATACACACACAAAATACTGTCACTAATTACGTTAATTACACGCACTTCACACAGTACTTAATCACTTGTCTTCACTATATTCGCACTTTGTCACTCCGATGTTTATCGCTTGATATCGCATTCAAAACTGAACTAATCGGTCGCGTTTCGGCTCGCTTATATATCCCTGGGAGCGATGTTCGAGAACTCTCTAGGCGGCAGCGCAACTGAGTAGCGATCGCACAATTCTAGAACGTCCGTACTAGCTATCTCTTTCGCACATTGCTCCGTCCTTGTCGTACGGCGTTCTAGAGTGCTCGGTCTAGCTTCGAGAAGGTTCCGATCTTCCCTCTCTCTCGCGTATCATTCCGTCTTTGTCCCACACCTAGAAAATTCGTTCTAGAACATTCCTTCATCAAAGGGGTATAACCAGGCCTGATAACGCCTGAAAACGGGTTTCCTGAAAAGTGTACCATTCGACTACACGTGTTCTGAAACGGCCTGAAAAATCCAGGTTCCTGAAAACTAGGGTAACATTATGTAAATTACGATTTTCTAATATGTGATTGACCCTTCCCTGAAACGGTCAGAAATCACATCAGCCTGCTGAAAAGTTCTCTAAGAAGTGGAAAAATCTAGAAACATTGTAGTCGACCCGTCTTCGTAACAGTATATTTGAACTACTCGATGGAAGGTTGCCATCTCCATTATTTTCCTCATTTATTGTTATTGTTTAAGTGCCCATTTCACTTAAATCAAAATTTACTTTATATTATTTACGGGTACCTACATAATGTAGGTACCCGTTTTTACATCAATAATAAAATTATTTTTACTTAAAATTATATAAAGTATTATTTCTAAAACAGAATAGTAGATATATATATATAAAAATTGTATTATAATGAATATAATGACATTCAATGTCGACTTAAGCGATGTTTTAATTCACTCTATTTAGAAAATACTAAATTATTTAAACAATAATGTACGTAAATCAGAGTTTAATCCTAGGGGATATCGGGATATAAAATAACACTTTACAACATTTAATAAATGAAAACGGCAATAAATCGCAGTCTTTCCTTTACAAAGAGCCTTACGAAGTTTTGTATCTGTTCAAGGTCCTGTCTCGAGCTCGTCTTAGTGAGTTATTAATACTAGAATAGCCGTCGAGTGACACTGTCGTGTAGTGCTTATGATAATTTAATCTGATAATACAAATTGCAATTATCCAATCTGTGGTGACACGTGAATTAAGACGAATATTTTTTAATTTATAGTAAGTACTGAACTACACTTTCAGTTCTGAAATATATAAAAATTAGAATCATGCTTTTCTTAAACATCTTTTTTTATAGTTGAGAAAATGATTAATAAAATAATACGGGTATTAATTAGTTGTTTACTGTCATTTTAATTGTATAATATAACAGCTATATAATCGTCATATTACCAATATATATAATGGATCATTTTAAGAATTATATTTTATAAAGCATTTAAGAAATTGTTTAAAGAAATATGTTTTACAAAGTTTACGCCTAGCTGATATAATAGATATAATATTATAAATTAAAATAAAATGAGTGTTTATTGCTTACGCCAAACGGTACGTTCACCTAAATACAATTGAATGAATACCAACTCAACGATTCATTAATATTAATTGTTCCTTGTTTCATTCAATACTTATATTTACTAACGTTTTTATATGCAAAATATGTAATTATTATATATATTATGAAAAACTATCTCATATTATGAAAAGGTATGTGATGATAGTCCTAAATTATGGCAACATATACAATAAACATGAAAGAGACACTACAATGAAGAACGATTACTACAGTCAATTTTAAATTTTATTAGTTTAGTCATTAGTGTAACCGCCAAGGTAACCGCGTTGGGATGTTAAAATAAATTAATCAGAACATAATCTAATAATAATTTACCAGTGAATATCTAATTATAATTAATATCTAAATATAATCTAAAATATTATATATTCATTCATAGATGCCTTTTAAAAGAAATTGGGATGAATCGTGTCCTCGAGTTTGGAATAAATGGGAGACTAACGGTCAGGAGTGGGTTGTCCAGGACTTGGACCCGAAAGACGATGAAGAGGCACTTGACATTTTATTGGAACATCTTTGTACTGATGAAGTTCTTTGCTCCTTAAGCAGTAAGTCACATGTGATTTAGTGTAGAGGAATTATTTGACTTTCTAATGCCTAGATTTTCCTATAAAAAATGAATCAATTTTAACTTGAGTCGATAAATAAATTAATCGGGTCAGATAATATCTTTTTGCCCTCTTAAAGTAGTCGTTACCGACCAAGTGGCTAAGTGGTTTACGCAGAAGGATGAGATGAACTCGGGGTTCAATTACCAATTACAGCAAAACAATAATTGTATCGGTATACTTGGGTTAAGAAAGACCAACGATAATACAGAAATGTGTCGGACCCTCAATTGCCTTTTGAGAGGGTATGTGAACATTTGAACACAGTAAACGTCTTAATTAAGACAAAGTTCTATTAATTTCAAAACGTTATTATTTGGAAAATTATTTATTAATAAAATTTCGTTGTTTAAATAGAACTTTCGGAAGATGAAGAAAGTATCGAGGGTATGAAGAAGTTCTGGGTGCCCTGTATAGCGCAGAGAATGAGTCTTGCACTCTACACCTGGGTAGATGGTAAGAAGAGCCTGGTAGCTTTAAACGTGTGCGTCGTCATGTCTGATGGTGATACTTTTCCAGATGTTGAGGTTAGTATTATACAATTATACGGGCTTAGTAATTGTGAATACTGTTTTTATTGTTCTTGATTGGTTTCAGTCGCCAGGGCCTATAGGCATCAATCTTATAGAGGTAACTACTGAAATTATAAATGAAACCTTTTTGCAAGTTGCTACAAAACTCTCTTTCTATCTTCTTTCTATTTAGATATTGGTTTCTGCGAGATCTGGCATGGCTTACTGTTTTCGATGATTCGCGGTATACATTCGCGTTTATAATATATGTTATATTTCAACTGTGTAGGCTAATAAAGGCTTGAGAAATACCCTTTAAAAATAATATACCCCCGACGCGCGCTGATTAGATATGCATACATATTACATTTCAACCGATTAGACCAGTTTCGCAATTTGTGACATGACGCCTTGATATTAAATTTTCTTTAATTTTATGTTTTTTTCTTCTTTATGAATGTTATGTTTGCCTGTAAAGCTTAGGTTTCCTAGAAAAGCGGTGCCGTTATCCAACGGCCGTAATGTAACGTTGGGTGACGCCCATATTTAATTAATACAATGAGTGGAAACGTGACTTGGACGAGCGAAAATGATGTTTTTTTTTTGCATTATGTTAAAAATTAAAGACGGCAGTTAGTTAATGGCACCGCTTTTGTAGGAAACCTAAGCTTAATAACCGTAAAATGACGGCCGTTAGTTAACGGCACCGCTTTTCTAGGAAACCTAAGCTAAAACCGTCGAAATGACGGCCGTTAGTTAACGGCACCGCTTTCTAGGAAACCCAAGCTTAATAACCGTAAAATGACGGCCGTTAGTTAAGGCACCGCTTTTTTAGGAAACCTAAGCTTAACAACCGTAAAATGACGGCCGTTAGTTAACGGCACCGCTTTTCTAGGAAACCTAAGCTTAATAACCGTAAAATGACGGCCGTTAGTTAAGGCACCGCTTTTAGGAAACCCTAAGCTTAATAACCGTAAAATGACGGCCGTTAGTTAACGGCACCGCTTTTCTAGGAAACTTAAGCTTAAATGTCACAAAGTATAAGTATACCTTTGTTAATAAGTTAAAATAGAAATTGGATTATTCAGTGAGGCTAATACAAAGTACAATCCTGGCAATTAAGTGGGATACAGGATGACAGACGTCATTTTAAGTTCTTCTATAATCAGGAATGACGATATTTATAGACACAAGTCGCTGAACAGAACTATTAATATAGTATTTTTGTATTAGTAGCTTAGATACTATATTATACTCATTTTATTTCACTATATTTTTTTTTTTTTAAAAATCTATTTTTTTTTTTTTTTAAATTTAAATTCTTCTCCCCCCTTTTTTTCCCCTCCACCCCCCCCCCCCCCCCTTTTTTTTTTTAACTTTCTACAAGTTATATATAAACTTTGTAAAGCAGTTATTGAGGTTCACAATCTTTCGGCAGTTTACAATCTCGCGAGATAGATAACAATCTAACGGTGTTTACAATTTTACGGTGACATATACAATAAATTGTGCGGCTAACTTTGCTACGAAAGCAGCATCTATATTTAAGTCGAATTTGAATATATATATAGCCAAAGAAAAAAACTAAAAGGAATCTTTAACTTCATCTCTGTAACGTAAGCTGCAAACTTTTTATCTTATTACTAGTCTTAGTATTTAAATCTACAACGCTAAACACCTTATACAAACTTCAGTTTGAGTTCCTCCAAGTAAATCAACACGATAAAATAGCACATTTTCACTAGTATTCCTCCTTTTAACAACACTACTGTGAAGAGTTTAGATGTACGAATTTCCAAATTTCTTTCTCTACTTGCTTTAATCGTGAAATCTTGTTTTGTTCTCACTGTTTGTAAGTGCGTGGTTCAATTTTCTGCTGATGCTAAGAGTTTGTTACTTAATTATTACAACATTTTGTTTTAATATGTCGAATTTCATTATTAATAAGTACATAGTCACCAACATGAATAAAAAATAAATTTTGATTATGGTTTAATGGTTGCAGCTCCTTACAAACGTTGTGTAAAAAAAAAACATTGGGATTAAAAAGAGTGGCGGAGAGTTTATTGCCAGTTCTTCTCTTCCGTTCTACGCCCTTGATTTGAGAACTGGCACTAAATGTAAAATTAGAAGCATTAATATGTATCTCTTTACTGACAAGTCATAAGTGTACAATGTGTTACCCATATGATTAAATGATTTTTGAATTTGAATTTGACAATATTACTGCTTTATACAACAACAACACGGTAATTTGAACTACCTATTATCCGCTAGTAATAAGTAAGCGTTAATAATAATTTTCTTTTCTTTTTCAGATTAAAGGTCAGAAATGGAAGAACGTGTTTAAAGCGCTAGAGTACGTAGAAATCAAGCGAGATCCACACAAATACTTGAAACTGAATTCACTGTTACATGCGTTTGGGCTTGTTGTAAAGAGAGACTACAGAGGACAAAGGCTTGGTGCCAAATTGTTGGATGCTAGGTAAATTTCTCTTAAATTTAGTTTGGACTAATTAATTTTGCTTCCTGCGGGTAGACGCTTTAAAGAAACTACGTTATTTTTCAAAGTTTGCATTAATAGGAATCGATTAAATATAGATATAGCAGTTTATTTGTGAAAGCATAATATAAAATAATATAAAAATAATATGAAAATTATATTTTATAAAAATGTCTCTATCTCTAAGATCTTTTCGTAAATACTTATTTACCTTTCAATGTAATGTAGTTTAATATTAACTATTGCTGTATTTATAAAAGTTAAAAATCTAACTAATATTTATAATCTTAAATATTTATCTTTAACTATATTTAGCGACGAATGTCAAATGCATCATTGCCCATAACATGCTGACCTTATTGCAATTTAATTACGAGTATATCAATGAAATGACCGCCATATATATGTATGATAAAATGCAAACTGCAGTTATAATTTTATATTTTCTTTACTGAAAAAAATTAAAGTACTTCTCGCTTTTACTACAAAATATGTTTTGAAGGTCACTCAATCATTAATAATTTAAAATTCCATTATTTTATATATTGGCTTGTCCCATGTTAACTTAAGACGGATCTAATCGAGTACTAGGCAAAGGCTATTTTTTTTCCGGGGGTTTTCGGGGGTGTTGGGCGTTTCTTTTTTTTTTCTTTTTTTTTTTTTTTAATAAACTTAAACTAAAGACAGATACATGATTATACTACCAAAATGTTTCATTCCGTAGAATTCTGACATTAATTCATAAGTGTTGCTATTAAAAAAGCTTTCCACCGAAAAAGGGACAATTTTTACCCATTTGAAGGCAATAAAAATAAAATGCGACATATTTTTTATGGTCTATCTAGAAAAAGGTAACTCTAAATATTTACTAAGTTTACCTAACACAAAAATAAGAAATATTTCAATATCACGAACAATATATTGAATTAACTTTATTTATTCTTTAGCTGGCATCACTGCCTACTAATTCCAGGTTTAGTACACCTTTTCAAAAAAGAAATTGTTATCTTAACTTTTGTGATTTTTACAGTGATGAAAAGGGACGTAATTATCACTCGCCGTACAAACAAACACTTTTAATGTGTAAAACCGCACTTAATAAAATGGATACATTCACTAACAAATAAAATGTATGAATAGTCTCAGATGTTCAGACTCGCATTGAAATTGAAAAATGTGCCTGGCCAAAAGGTTTGTCATCTCTGACATGTCAAAAAATGATAGCTGTCAGAATTCTACGGAATTAAAAACCAGCGGTAATTTCCGACTCGTCGATTTGTGGTTCTAATCTGTGTCCGCTATCGAGGGGACCCTCAAAGTTTTCCTTTACCGTACCTACGTGCAAGTCTTAATTGTGCAAGTTTTATTGTGCTCGCAGAAATAAATGTCGTTGAAGTCGTGGTCAACCGAATTGTAAATTCACACGCACATTAGGCCGGCACTGGCACCGAGTCTATGAGATATAAAAATAATATAAACAGCCCCCACGCTTTACAATAATACCAGTATTTTTTGTTCATTACCATTTTCAGCCTAAATTAGGAATTATTTTTCACTTTTTAGTTTGATGTGCTTTAAAAGCGTGTTTTTTAGTTTTTTTAACTATTATTTATTTTTTAGTTAAATTTTTTTTTCATTTTTTTCGGATATTGCATTGTCATCGATTTTGACATCAAAGTTTGAATTAAATCTGTCCGTTAAAAGTGGGTCAAAATCGAGTCCGAAGGAGTCTTACATACATCATATATATAGGTGAAGCTAATATAAAGCGTATAAAAATAATATAAACGAGTAATATAACTCAATGGCATGAGCTAATCTCAATGATAAAATCAAAATTCCTCGAGTACAAATACATTAGTTTACTGCAATTGATTTTAGGTAACAAATTAGCTAAAGCGCCTGGTGTAATTTATTTCAAATATTTCCAGAGAGCCACTATCAAAAGCACATGGCATCAATGGTACTACGACGGTATTTACGGGTCCAGCATCACAGAAATTGGCGGCTAGCTGTGGTTTCGAAAGTATTTGCGAAGCATCCTGGAAGGACCTGGCTGATTCGGGATTAGACTATCCTCCTGAAACTAATAAATATATTAAACTTATGGTTAAGCGATTTGACTAAGCAATAGAATTTTGGTAGAACCATAGATTTCACCAATGAGACATATTAAAATATTTTCAATTATTTGATATAAAATCGCCTTAATTGTGTCTTTGTGTCCATTTATTATGGTCACTAATCTTAGATCAAGACCGAATTACCTTAAATTGTTTTTGGGTTAAGGGTAGCTAGTACACAGCTGTTCAAAACGAAACATCTAAGTTGTAAATCAGGAAATCCACCGGCAATATTATTTTCATTGTATATTTATTTATTTAGTTATAAAGCCCACGACATCACACACAGTCCTAAATCTACCAATTATTTTACAAAATCTTACATCCAAAATGTGCGACAATCAACGCAAGCATAAGTTTCTCAAAAAAAAAAACAAATAGAAATTAAAAAAAAACAACTAAAACACACACGACAATACACACATTAAAATAAAATATTTTTTTTTAACATAAACATAAAATAAAATTTTCAACAAATTTCATTAAAATTAAATTTGTTGGCACTAAGCAGAAAAAAAATAAAAATCATCAGAAAATCAGCGAAATTAGGTTCGAGAAAGGCACCCCACAATGCTTTCTCTAAAACCGATCAGCCCACTACCGAATATATTCAGCTCCGGATAAGCTGTGTTCGATTTGTTAAAATCACGAAGAATTCGAACGAGAGGTGCCTGAACTCCTAGGTTGATTTTGGCAGAAGGAATTTGGAAGATATTGTTGATTTTAAACCTAGGGAATGAGAGTATATTATTTAATATTTAATTAGTTTTAGCAAAATATTAAATGAAATCACGAATTCAAGATCTTATTTGTCTTTTCCAGATTAGTTAATGATTTTATATTCTATGGAATAGGTCTTTTATATATTCACATTATTGTTATTTTTTATCATTCTACGTTAAGAAATATTATTTATTGTCATTAATATAAATTTTAGTTTTATTTGTTCAGAATGTCAATTAAATTATTTCAAATTCCAATTCAACTTAGAGTCCTTCAAGAAAACAGCGTACCAATCCATTAAAAGTCGGCAACGCACTCGCGAGCCCTCTGAGATTGCCCATAGTCCACTTAACATCAGGTGAGACTCCTGCCCGTCGAAGGACCCTAAGTAGAATTGGTTCGAAAATACTTCGGTGTCAAGCTGGTTCCATATAGTGGTGGTCCCCGGCAAAAACTACCATAAATAACGCTAAGTTGTGGAAGGATGGACATCGAGATGATACGATTCTGCCTCGACGATCGATAATGAAAATTATGTATCTAGAAACTCAATAAGTAACACCACAATTTTTATAAAATATAAGTTCAGTTTACATTTGAATAATTAAATAAATAAATATTCATTCATTCTGTTAATTTTGTGTCACGGTGCGCGCGCTAAAATTTCACTCTCATCAATTTTTCATAACGCGCCTAAAGAAGTATAACTTCAAAAATGGGAGAAATATCTGGGTCTTGGAATGGATACATATTTAAAGTGGAACTTTCATATATCACACTTAATTAACAAACTAAAATCCAGTTATAGGCAGATTTTGGTCAATATCAAAATGCATTCCGCAATCTGTACCTACGTCATTTAATTTATAATTGTTTAGTAAAGCCACATTTCATATATATATATATATATATATATATATATATATATATAAATATGGGGTACAGCATGCAAAAACAAAATGTCTAACACACAAACACTACAAAATAAATTAATAAAAGCACTATTTAGATAAAAAAAATTAACACAGACTAATAAATTCTACCAAGAAACAAAAATTATGACGATTAAACAAATATATGTTTATAGCACCCGTCTCTTAATTTAAAAAAAACACTCTCTCCATAGTAGCTTATCATTTGAAAAAATCACTCAACTACACGCAATACTCGTCGAACGAGTTTGCTTAACTTGCCAAAGCCGCGTACAAAATATTTGAAGAAGTCTATTAAGTATGAGGGTGTGCAATTATTTAATCAATTACCGTCTAAAATTCCTAATATTAGCGCGTTTAACCAATTCAAAACGGCATTAAATTTACATACCAGAATTAACCTAGTACACTAAAATTGGGACGGCTGATGGCGACGTGTATCTCGTTCGTATATACATACTAGCTGACCGGACAAACGTCGTTTTGCCATATCATTTATAATAAAAAATAGGGGTTGATCGTAGAGGGTTGAAAATTAGGGTTGAATGTATTTTTTAATGCTGTGTCATAATTTTTTTTTTTTTAAATCTAAAAATTAAAAAAAAAAAATTAGGGGTGGACTACCCTTAACATTTAGGGGGATGAAAAATAGATGTTGTCCGATTCTCAGACATACCCAATATGCACACAAAATTTCATGAGAATCGGTCGAGCCGTTTCCTAGGAGTTTAACTACAAACACCGCGACATGAGAATTTTATATATTAGATTAAGTTACGCATTTAAATAAAATACATTCTTTTTGTAATGAGAAATAAGGTTATTTAAACAAAAAAAGATAATTTAAGTTTTTGCATAACTTCTACTTCTAATCTGATTAAAGCGGTTTATCGTTCTAAACTTGAACTTGTAATGGAGAAAGTCGTTTACAAATAAAAAATGCTGTTAAAAAAAATTCCTTTATTACATAGCTTGGGACTTGTTAATGCCGAAACAAATTAGAAACGTGACATAAGAAATAGTATTCAAATATATACAATTGCTAAAAAAATTGACTATAACAATAGGTTAAAAACCCCATCTTCTCATATACAAAAATCTTTGACCCCTTGAGGTTGCGTAGAGATGTGGGGTATCTCTGCATCTACTACCACATTTACCACGGAAGAAGCATTTTTCGGATTAATACCTGCAGCTGACTTTCATCATCGGTGGTCAAGGCAGAATACGAAATTCCACCCGTATCACCTCGACGTCCGTCGTTCTACAACTGAGCATTTTGAAAGCAGTTTTGCCGCGCTTCACCACTATGTGGGACCAGCTGCCCACTGAAGTATTTCCGAACCAATTCAACCTATAGTCCTTCAAGAAAAGAGTGTACCAATTCTAAAAAGCCGCCAATGCACTTGCGAGCCCTCTGGCAATGCGAGTGTCTATGGGCGGCGGTGGTAACACTTGACATCAGATGAGCCTCCAGTGCATTTGCCCTGTGTTACTGAAAATTCCTCTTACCAGGTATTGCGAGGCTCACAATCCCTAGTTCTTGTGAACTACGCCTCTTACTGAGGGCAGCACTGAGTCTTTGCAACTGGGCATCGACTCCCGGTATACTATTTTTGCTTTTATTGAAATCCATACTAGACGCACTGGGACACTGATCGACTTTAAACAGGATGTTGTGATTATAGCAATTCAAATTTTGGTAGCCATATTTATTTAAATTAGAAACCATACTCGATATACTGAACTTAATATAAACTTATATATATAAAGGTATATATTGGTTTAAGGTAAATAAATAAAATAAACAGTATTCGTTAATGAACATTATGCTCAGGGATATTATTGATTCAACTTATTAATTCAAATCTCCTTCGTCCCTCATCGATACTTTTTTTTTAATGGCTCTGGCACGGTTTGTGCCAGCGTCAAGTATAAGATTTTTATAATTCGTGCTTTTTGCCTTACAAATTCGACCATGTCCTCCATGTACGGTTTAGGCATTATTAAAGGCCGAGAACAAATTTAAATTAAATTAAAACTTGACCTCGAACCGGGAATCGAACCCGGTACCCCTCACCTAGCTGCCACTTAATAAGACCGCTAGGCTATGAGGCCCCTCCGAGAGATACTTATGAGTTATGACTGTTAAAAGTAATGGTAACCATGGTAACGAATATCTTCTCGCCATAATATGTTACTTATTAGTATCCCTATCTGATTTCACGACGACAATCTTTAATATAAAGGTTCGAGCAATAAGTTAATAATTCTCCTGATTTGTAACTAACAATATAAATGAGAAAGAAAAATAAACATCGTACCTAAATAAATACTGTAAAAAACTTATACTTACAGTTACGTAAACTGTTTTTATTTTTATGACTAAAACCACATATTATATCGATTTCTTTTAGTGTCAAGTCTATTTTGGATAATATTTGAAAGGCTATTTATAGATAGCTCTATACAATCTTTTATTAGATAAATTTACAATATAAAATATAAGTACTAGTTCTTTTACAAATACTGACGGAAATGACAGAGTAATAACTATGTATTTTTTTACATTTAGGTTTTTAGTTCTGGTGTAGGTTCCCTAGGGACTTATATGTCTTACTGAAGAGGGGTTAGGAGACTTCACACCCACCTCTTTGTTTGTATAGTGTATATGTCACCGACCCATTTGTCAAATTGAAGTTTCACGGTCTCAAGGTCAACCCATTTAACGACTTCGATCATCGTGACGAAACAAAATTCCAACGCAAGCGACCGATTCAAATAATCTCGGAAGTCGCATGCAAAGTCATTCGTAATAGATAAAAAAATAACTGATAAATTTGCCAGTACTGTTGGTGATGTCATGAACTTAATACCTCATGCTTACGTTTCGAATTTTAAATTTTATTTTGCAACCCGATGAATTAGTATGATCTCGTTTTACATTAAAAGTTTAACAATAACGATAATTTTGAATTTGGAACATTTAGATTCTAACATCTTTCAGATACTAACTCACAACAGATATTCATTCATGTTTTTGCTTTAATCAAATATTTATAGTATATATGAAATACTCGATGGAAGATTGGTAGCTCCATAATTTTCATAAAAAACTATGATCTTGCCATGATATATAGCGTTTTTGCTTTTTAACATAAATCAAAATTTACTTAATCCCATAATGTACACTTTTTACATCAATAATAAAAATACTTTTACCTACTTAAATATTATAAAAAGTATTATTTATTAAACAAAATAGTAGTAGATATATAAATTGTATTATAATGAATTAAACATTAAATATCGATTTCAACGAAACTTTATTTAGAAAATAATAGGTAAA